ACGCCCGGCCATTTTTTGGTTGCAGCCGTCATTGTTGTTTGGCGGGTCCAGGCTGGGGATTCGAACCCGCCACCTTAGGTGTACGTGGCCGGCGCCCTAGCCGGTTGAGCTATAGGCGCCGAGCCCACAGTATAAGATTGAAAATAAATTCACATTAGAAAAAATTCTTTCTAGGGTGCCGGCCCCAAATGCCAGAAGTGGCGGGTTCAAACCCAGCCCTGGCCAAAAACTGCAAAAAAAAAAAAACAAACAAAAAAGAAAAAATTCTTTCAGCAACTTTTAATTTTTGGTTCAGAAACTAAGGCAACCATATGCCTATAATATTTTAGAAATATAAATTGGGAGATTATTTTAAGGCTCTAGACAGAGGCTAGAAGGAAGAGGAAGAGAAACTACGTAAGCAGCAGGGGGCAGCACCAGGTAATCATGTGAAGAAGGAACCACAGCCTTACCTCTACACAGCAATTTTCATCCAAGAGAATATCTCCTTTCTTATCTTTCAGATCCTCACTTACATAATAAGAAATTATGCTGGGTTTTAGCACAAACCAGCGTTCAGTCCAATTTTTCCGTCTATGGCCTTTTTTCATCATATAACCCTAGGAAAGATTACATTTGATATAAAAACTTATCCTTTATATTTGTAAAAGTTGATATCTCTTCCTGGATCCTTGCCTATTGGATATATGATCCTACATATGATTATCAGTGATTCTTGCCCTTGGTAGATCACAGACCACCAAGGTACTATATCCAATCAAATTCAGGCACGCACATGCAGACAAAAGGTTGTACATTAATTTTAGACACTTCAGAGACAGCCCCTCCTCTAACTGATACACAGCTAATAAACTTAAAAGCCCCTGCTGTTGGGGTTTTTTTTTTAATTATTTATCTTTTAGAGATGCCTATAGAAAAATTTATAGATAAAACAAATACCTGGGATCTGCTTCAAAATAATACAGGAGAGGCAGAAATAGGTAATAGAATTAGCTATGCGTTGGTGGTCACTGGGGCTGGGTGATGGGTATACTATTGTCTATTCCATGTTTTTAGAAAAAGAAAGGACCTCTAACAGTAATTCTCAATAAATTAAAACCTCAATTAAAACCTTGAAGTCCTCTTTAGTCAGAGACCATGTTTCATATCTCATTATAGCACCAAAAACCTACACAAATTAAAATGCAGGCTCACCACCTGTAGCTCAGCAGCTAGGGTGCCAGCCACATACACCAGCAGTGGCAGTTTCAAATCCAGCCCAGGCCTACCAAACAACAATGACAACTACAACCAAAAAAAAAAAAAATAGCTGAGAGTTGTGGCAGGCACCTGTAGTCCCAGCTACTTGGGAGGCTGAGGCAAGAGAATAGCTGAAGCCCGAGAGTTTGAGGTTGCTGTGAGCTGTGACACCCCAGCACCCTACCAAGGGCAGCATAGTGAGACTCTCTCTCAAAAACGAACAAACAAAGAAAAACAAATTAAAACTCAATTAATAAGCTCGGCACCCACAGCACAGTGGTTACGGCACCAGCTATATGCACTGAGGCTGGTTGTTTTGATCCTGGCCTGGGCCAGCTAAACAATGACAACTACAACAAAAAATAGCCAGGCCTTGTGGCGGGTACCTGTAGTCTCAGCTACTTGGGAGGATGAGGCACAAGAATTGCTTAAGCCCAAGAGTTGGAGGTTGCTGTGAGCTATGATGTCATAGCACTCTACTGAGGGCAACATAGTGAGACACTGTTTCAAAAATAAAAATAAAAAAATAAAAAAATAATTCAATTAATGTTTACTGGTTGGCTCCATTAGGGAAAAAAAGCGAAGAATACCACCTGCAGAACAGAAAAAAGAAGGAAGGCCGAGCGCGGTGGCTCATGCCTATAATCCTGGCACTCTGGGAGGCCGAGGCAGGTAGACTACCTAAACTCACGGGTTTGAGACCAGCCTGAGCCAGAGTGGGACCCCAGCTCTAAAAATAGCCAGGCAGTGTGGCAGGTGCCTATAGTCTCAGCTACTTGGGAGACTGAAGCAAAAGAATGACTTGACCCCAGAAGTTTGAGGTTGCTATGAGCTATGACACCATGGCACTCTACCAAGGGCAACAAAGTGAGACTCTGTCTCAAATTAAAAAAAAAAAAAAAAAAAGGATAAAGTAAGGAAATCCCAAATCAGAGTTATTATTTGATATAATAAAGTAAGAAATTTGAAAGACCCAGCAAAAAATATGTAAGGTCAGGCGGCACCTATGGCTCAAAGGAGTAAGGCACTGGCCCCATATGCCAAAGGTGGTGAGTTCAAACCCAGCCCCGGCCAAAAATGGGGAAAAAAAAAAGTAAGTTCTATTTAACAAGCATTAAGCATCTTATATTTATATCATATGCAAGTCCGGTTGCTGAGAAAACAAAGATAATAGTCTAAATAATACAAATACAGGCTGGGTGCGGTGGCTTATGCTTATAATCCTAGTAATCTGGGAGGCTGAGGTGGGTGGATTACTAGAGCTCAGGAGTTCAAGACCAGACTGAGCAAAAGTGAGATCCCATCTCTACTAAAAATAGAAAAACCATCAGCATGTTGTGAAGGGTGCCCGTAATCCCAGCTACCAGGGAGGCTGAGGCAAGAGGGTCACTGGAGCTCAAGAGTTTGATGTTGCTGTGAGCTAAGATATCATGGCACTCCACCTCGGTAACAGAGTGAGACTGTGTCTCCAAAAAAAGAAAAAAGAAAAAAAAGAAAGAAAGACAAATACAACTTTCCTTTATAAAAGTACTTTGCCCAGAAGTAGGATAATTTTTCTGATTTTATAAAAATAATACAAAATCAAATAGAAATGTAAATAGTATAAAATGCATAAAGAAAAAATAAAGTTCACCAAAATCCGACAATCCAGAGATGACCACTGTGAGCATCCTTCTAGACAGCTCTATACACAGGCATCATGTTACGTGAAAGGGATTATAAGATACTGCCTGTCCAGCAATGTGGTTTTCTTACTGAATATGTCATGTAAATATTTCCAGATCAATGGATATGGATGTACACATGACAGGAAGGTGCTTTAAAAACAGTTTGGAAATGTGATTATTTAAATAGTTCTCTCATGTAGAATATAAATGTCTTAACATAATAACTAAGAGGGTGCTGTGAAGGCTATGTTAACCAGTTTGATGAACACATTTCAAATTAAAATATAAAGATATAAGATATAAAACCAGCACATTGTACCCCATGATTGCATTAATGTACACAGCTATGATATAATAATAAAAAATAAATAAATAGTTCTCTCAGACTAGATGTGGTGGCTCACACCTGTTAATCCTAGCACTTTGGTAGGCCAAGGCAAGAGGAATGCTTGAGGTCAAGAGTGTAAGACCAGTTTGGGCAACAAGAGATCCCACCTGTACAAAAAAAAAAAAAAAGTAACTGGGCACAGTGGTCCCAGCTATTCAGGAGGCTGAGGCAGAAGGACTGCTTAAGCCTAGAAGTTTGAGGTTGCAAGTGAGCTATTATGACGCCATTGTGCTCTAATCCCGGTAATAGAGCAAGATCCTATTTCCAACAACAAAAAGTTCTCTCAAAAGAGTATCTTTCCAATTCTTAACTGTTCCTTAAAATTGGGTGGCACCCGTAGCGTAGTGGGTAGGGTGCCGGCCACATGCACCAAGGCTGGCAGATTTGAACCCAGCCTGGGCCAGCTAAAGCAACAATGAAAACTGCAACAAAAACAATAACCAAAAAAAAAAAAAAAGCTGGGCATTGTGTCAGGCACCTGTAGTCCCAGCTACTTGGGAGGCTGAGGCAAGAGAATCGCTTGAGCTCAAGAGTTTGAGGTTGCCACAGCACTCTACCCAAGGTGACAGTTTGAGACTCTGTCTCAAAAAAAAAAAAAAAAATTGTACTAGTAATTCTTTAAAGTGAATGCCTAACTCAAATTAGACTTTCCATTTGATGCTGCAATCCCATTACTAGACATCTACCCAGAAGAAAAAAAAAATCAAATCACCTTACTATAAGCACATGTACACTAGATTGGTCATCACAGCTCAATTTACAATTGCCAAAATATGGAAACAACCTAAATGCCCACTAACCCAGGAATGAATTAACAAGGTGTGGTATATGTATACCATACTATTTAGCCATTAAAAAAGATGGAGACTTTACATCTTTTTTATTAACCTGATGGAGTTGAAACACATTCTTCTTAATAAAGTATCACAGGAATGGAAGAACAAGAATCCAACATACTCAATACTAATATAAAGCCAGCAGACAATCTAATACACACTCATGTATAAATGTGTGTACACACCCCAATAATACACACCCCAATCAATTCAAGGTGGTGGGCAGGGGAACAAGGGAGTGGGGAGATGGGAGGAGGGAGAGAGAAGGGGTGTGCTCCCATTTAAAGGGCACAATGGTTGGGGGTATGGCATACCTCTTGGGGACAGGACATAATTACAAGAGGAATTCTACCCAAAAAAGGTAGACATTGTAACCTAATTTTTTGTACCCGCAAATTAACCTGAAACAATTTTTAAAAATATATTAAAAAAATAAAGTAAACACCTAATACAAGACTGGGAAAATAAGAAAGTTTTTTTTTTTTGAGCCGGAGCCAGCCTCAAGCTATCCCCCTGGGTAGAGTGCCGTGGCATCA